TATATTATATTATATATTTCAGTTGATAGATTTGTTGATAATATATAAATTGTAATGGTGTAGTATTAATATTTTATCTTGTCACAAGTATAATTATTTTGATGTTGATGAAAAGCAATTATTATTAGATGAAATGCAATAGTTTGTATTAGTTAAAATATATTGAATATTAGATGTAATATTTATCTTCCACGTTTTAAACAAAAATCCTGAACTGATTTCTGAGAAGGTGCCATTTCTACGCAATAGACCATTGAAAATTTTTTTTTATGGTTTTGATCAATTTTTTTGATAGAAATCATGGTCTTAACATAACACATCCTAAAGTTTTGCAGGTTTTTGACAATAAAGGGCTGGATCAAAAATTTCAAATTTTCAAAAGTTGCTACACCATAATTTTTATTGATATTTATAGATTTGAGAAAGTCATTTAACTTTTTAAGACAGTATGTAATTTAATTTATTCATTGAATTACATTCTTAAAATTATATGACTTGAATTTCAGTTGTTTGTGTGTATGATCTACACAAGCATTTTTTATGTAAAATGTATTATGAATGTGCTTTTGTTTTATTACAATAAAATCAACAGAGAAAAGTTTGTTTCGATATAATATCTGAAATACATTTTAATTATTACTTTATAACACAAGAAATAAAAAACGATTTATTACTTAGATGTAGATACATGTATCAACAACCATTTTAGAATGTATACAGAAAGAAATACAATAAAAGACAAGTTATGTTATTTATTTCATCTGATTTTATCACATAAAAACAAAAATAAGTAGCATGGATTTCATACTTTTAATTATAAAATGCAGTACAGTTTAAAATTTGTCAAAAAGACAGTGTTACTTATTTAATAATACATGAAATTATGCAACTTACATTTTCATTTTGGATAACGTATTTCTAATCCAATACTCACTTATTTTATTAAATTATGCATTAAAAGTAGCTAAAAAGTCAGCTACAATTTTCTTTAATTGGGCATCAGATGCTTCACTAATCGTTCCTTCCTTGGCAATGGTTTGCAAAAGGGATGAATGGTTGGCTCTGAAAAATATCATTAATGTGAAATCTAGTATCTTTAATTAATAGATTAACATAAAACTTATACTTACTTGATGTGAGCGTTAAATTCCTTTCAAATGCTGTGATCTTGGATGGGTCCATTTGTCCAAGTGTCCTCGGACACCACAGTAGATAATTGCAACTTGTTCTTCAATAGCCATTGGGACATATTGTCCTTGCTTCAATAATTCAGTCAAACGAACACCTCTGTTTAACAATTGTTGTGTGGCTGCATCAAGATCTGAGCCGAATTGGGCAAAAGCAGCCACCTCACGATATTGAGCTAATTCCAGTTTCATGGAACCGGCAACCTAAATAATTGTTTATTATCAGATTTTATTCAAAGCTTCAGTGCATGAAGATATACCACTTTATTAAAATATGAAGTGATTTATTGAAATTTTTTATGTTTTGATACATATTTTTGAAAATTTACCGAAACAAAAAACTAGAACAGAAATAAGCATACCTGTTTCATGGCTTTGGTTTGTGCAGCAGAACCTACACGAGATACAGATAAACCTACATTGATGGCTGGTCGAATACCCTTGTAGAACAATTCAGTTTCCAAGAAGATTTGACCATCAGTAATGGAAATGACATTAGTTGGAATATAAGCTGATACGTCACCAGCTTGTGTTTCAATAACTGGCAAAGCAGTCAAAGAGCCACCTCCATGAGCTTCAGACATTTTAGCGGCACGTTCAAGTAGACGTGAGTGAAGGTAGAAGACATCACCTGGATAAGCCTCACGACCTGGAAAATAATGAGTTGTACTTTTAAACAAGAAAGTAAATTAGAATTCTTTAGAAGCCAAAGGCCAAAGCAGCTACTAATGCACAACACACTTTATTAAATGATTAAAAAATATTAACCTGGTGGACGACGTAACAATAGAGACATTTGACGATAAGCAACAGCTTGTTTGGATAAATCATCATAGATGATCAAAGCATGTTTTCCATTGTCACGGAAGAATTCACCCATAGCACATCCAGAGTATGGAGCAAGATATTGAAGAGGGGCAGCATCAGAAGCAGTGGCTGATACAATGATGGTGTACTTCATAGCACCTAAATTGCATAGTATACATTAATTAAAATATCCATAACATAAATTTTAGAAGTGAGAATGCATTACAATTATCTAAAATAATTGTAATAGGAGGTCAGTTATTCTTTGGATTCCTTTAATATAAATATATTACCTAATTCTGTGTAATGTTATATGTAGAAGAAAAAGTAGATTTCTTTTTATGAGAAATGCTTAAATAAACTCACCGGCATCTGTTAACCTCTTGACAATTTGTGCCACAGTGGATCTCTTTTGACCAATAGCAACATAAATACAGTATAATTTTTTCTTTTCATCTTGAGCATCATTGAATCTCTTTTGATTAATAATGGTATCAATAGCTAAAGCAGTTTTTCTAAAAAATAAAATATATTATATATTATGTTTAGTTTTAATTATCTAATATGTGAGCTTGTATTCATTGTGGGAATGATATACATTTTAACTTTGATATTATGGAAATATGTGTGGAATTTACCCTGTTTGTCTGTCACCAATAATCAACTCACGCTGACCACGACCAATGGGTACAAGAGAATCAACAGCTTTAATTCCAGTTTGCATAGGTTCGCGTACAGAGACACGTGGAATGATACCGGGAGCTTTAGTTCCTACACGGAATCTAAAAAAAGATCATGTTTTAATTTGTCTTAAATTTATGATGCATAAGCTCCTATAAAAAAGCATTAAATTGACCTGGTTTTGCTTTGTAAAGCACCTTTGCCATCAATGGCATTTCCTAAAGCATCAACTACTCTGCCTAATAATTCTTCACCTACAGGTACATCTACAATAGCTCCAGTACGTTTTACAATATCTCCTTCTTTGATTTGTCTGTCATTACCAAACACGACAACACCAACATTATCTGGTTCCAAATTCAAAGCCATACCCTAAAAGGTAAATTCAAAACAGAATTAAATTTAAATTGTAAATAAAACCATGCATTCGAGCAAAAATAAACTCGAAAAAATATTATTTGCAATATGAAAGTTAAAATTAAAATTTCAAAGTATTGAACCTTTAATCCAGAGGAGAATTCCACCATTTCATCGGCTTGGATGTTTTTAAGACCATAAACACGAGCAATACCATCTCCAATGCTCACAACTCGACCAGTTTCTTCCAAATCAACTTTAGGTGTTGAACCCATAATGCGCTCCTCCAAGATAGAGGAGAGCTCGGCTGCTCGTTGGCTGCATGATACATGAATCTTCCTTGCTGCAAGGTTTGCAGCTGGGCAAGCTATTTTAGCAACCTATTAAAATTTATCAGCTATAGAATACCAATTTCTCATATTTGCATAACATTTATCAGTATATCAGCATGAATGACATTTGTAGTACTAGGTATTACATAACCACTTATAATAAAATTGCATAACTTAAGTTAAATCAAAGTTATTTTAAGGATCGTAAGTGTAATAAAAATAATGGTAATTGATTGTTTAAACATTTCGAGATACATTTATGGTCAATTAAAGGAAAAATTCACATAGCCGTCGGCACACTTGCCACTACAGAAAACCGAACACTATTACCGAACACAATATATTTTTGCTAATCACAGATATTGAGAACACTAAAATTACTTAAGAATACCTGTGAGGTTGTGTTTGGCAATCTCCTTGCCACATTAGCTGCAAATCTAGCAGAAATTAGAGACATTTTGTTCCAACCTATATTTCAACTTGATGAAGTGATCGACAGCAACCAGCGTAGACCTTATCCCAAAATGCAATGTGCTTTATACTCTCGCACCCATATGTATAATTCAAATAATACTTCTAAAAAAATATAAGTAAATAAAATAAACTATGAAACAATCATTTTTTTAAATAAATTAGTTTAAAAACGTATATAGTTTATTATCAATCATTATTAATAAATATTTTTTAAATCAATTTTATAGTAACGAGATTAAATAACTTTTATTTATACAATTCGCTCCGAGATGGCGCTGATGATTGAATGTGTGGAATGAAATGTCAAGTTCAAGAGATCTACATTTGCCGACTAAACAATACATAAAAAGTAGAATACATAATAATTGTAATTTAATTGATTATTTGTTGTAGGCTATTAAAGATTTTTTTCAACAAAATGGATATTGACGTAGCAAAACATGTTGCTTTATATTATCGAATATTGCCCGAAAAATTAAAAAAAGTTGATAACGTATGTTTCGTTGATATGTAATATAAACTTGTACAATTAAAGTATATGAATACAATTAAAATATATACTGCATTGTTTTAGGTTCTGACCTATACTTCTAGCAAAAATGGTATTTCAAAAGGCTTTATCGGTTCTCTGTTAGCTCTTGCTGAAGATAGTCTATTATGCCCAAATACAACTAACCCTAATAATAGAGCAGAAATTATGCAATGGCTTGAATATTGTGCGCTCTTCGTGCTTCCAGCAGCTGACAATAAGATGGAACTTAATATTTTAAAGGTAGGTATTTGTAACTATCATTTTATATGGTTTTTAAAAGATCATTGAACAGAACTCATTTGCTACGATATGTGTTTAAGTATAATATATTACATTTGTTATGATATCTTTTATTAAAGATTAAATGTAATGCATTTCTATCTCCCATGCTTCCAAGTCAATAAAGTTAAATATAAATCTTTGGATTTCAAACTATTAACAAAATATTTATATTTATAGGATTTGGATCATGCACTAAAAACAAAATCGTACTTACTGGGAGAAACTTTATCACTTGCAGATATTGTAATGTTTTACAGTATTGGATCACTAATGGTAGTATAATTGAAAACCTCATTTGATTGGCATTAAAATTATATTTTATCACTTATAAACATTATATATTTTTAATTTTTCAGCATACATTAAATAATTCAAATAAGTTCTTGCATGTGGCAAGATGGTACGATCACTTACAGAAAAATGATGCTGTATCACAAGGAAGATTAATAATTAATTTTAATTCCTTATTCATCTAGATCATATATCAAAATAATAAAAAAATACATTCGGCACTTCAAATATTTTTCTATAATACTGATAATATAAGAATACTATAAACTTATTAAATTAAGTACTATAAATTTTTTAATGACTATATTACTTTATAATATTTAATCATCAAATTTCACATGCTGCAACTCACCCAATATACTTTTGTATTTTAAAACACTATGACAGTAAGCAAACAAAAATTGTGTGTTTGGTTAATGCAAAGTTTCATAATTCATTATCTTCCTCATCACTAGAAGAACTGTTGTTGGAATTCAATTGAAAATTTTGTCTTGCAAAACAGCAGTACTTGCAGAAATATTGTTTTAAGGAAAGTTTGATATTCGTTCCATGAAATGATTTGACCAGATATTTGAATAATTAAATTGACAAGAATCATAATGTGGTCCTATAGTATACAATATTGATCCAAGAAAAAATGTGGAATAAATCCAACTTACCTAAAATGAAAATTGAATTATTATAGTTTTTTTTTTCTAGAATGTTTATAAATTCAATATATTTTAAAACTCACAATCATTATTATAATAAGAAAAAGTCCAATCTGTATATAGGCAAGAACCCGTGAAGGCAACATAATTGCTCCTACTAGTAATGTTGTTAACATAGCCATTGTTGTTGGACCGCACATTCTCTTTAATGAATATCTAACAAGATATTAACAAATACTTATTTTTAATATCTATCAACATTTTTAGAAATATATCACAAATTTATATACTTTACTTCGTACTATCCTCTTTATAGTTTGTATCAGAACAATGTGGAGCTAATCTATAATGTAAACTGTAATGCAAACTAAAATCAACTGCTAATCCAATAGCAGTGGACACCGTTACACTTTCTAGGATATTAAGTTTCCATCCACAAAATATCAATGCTGCCACCGTAATGAATATTACACAGGTAACAGTTAATATTGCATAAAGACTTAGAACCAAGTTTAAGGTGACCAGGAATAATACAAGAAATGCAATAACCATTGATAATCCAATTGCTATGTAAGTACCTGTAAAAAGTAATAAAACAAATTAAATTATTATTTAGACCATTATAGATAATTTTAAATATAAATATCACCTGTCGATAAAGTCTCTTGCAAATCATAAAAATCCAACTCGGAAATAAACCATCCCTTCATAGTTTCTGGAGCTGAATACATTTGAATTTTGGTCCATTCGTTTATCTGATTATAAAAAAATTCAAAGTAGAAAATGTTAAACTTTTCTATTGTTTTCAAAAATCTAATCTAAACTAGTGGAGTGTATGGCATCGTGCCTTAAGGCAAATTTCTGAAACTTCCAGTACAGTAAAGAAATATTCGAGAAATATTGTATGTTTTCAAATAGATTATTATATATATTGTAACATTGTCTAATATTCATAAAACTTATATAAACTGAATTGCAAAGTTGAAATTATTTGTTTAAAGTATATTAGAACTTTAGTCAGAATTAAAAATACAATCTGAATTATTTTTGACATACAAATTTTTTTTTTCAAAATCAATTATTTTGTTAAAATAAGCAGAAAGTTCTTTGAATCATTTAAATCGGACGCTGAGTTCTCTCAAAAACTGCCATTTTTTGCACATTTAGCTCTGTATCTTCGAAATGGTTGGGCCTGCCTTTGCCAAAAACTAATCAGCTCTTTTCCCTATCAATAGGAATCAAATGTTTTTTGAACCATTCAAATCGGTTGATCCGTGCGCCCGAAAACGTGAAGAAAAAAATGCGGACACACAAAACACACAAAACACACACACACACACACACATCCATTTTTCTGGGATATGCCAAAATGTTCAGAAACCTTCAAAACATCGAGAAATGCAAAAATTTTTAATTTCGATTTTTGGACGATTACAATAACTTACTCTATAAGAAGTTAATAAAAATGTATTTTTTTGCTATTCTTTTTTATCAAATCACATTAAAAACATTCTTATATAGATAAATATAATAAATTAAGCAAGTTTGCAATAACGGGACAAATGGGAGTTGTGGTAAGGTGATTCTTATATAAATATATTTATAACACTATAATTTACCTTTAAATAAAATTCTCGCATTGCCTCATGTGACAAAGTAAACATAACATTACTGTTATACTCAACTACTAGTGCTTTTGTAACAGTTTCTGTATATAAGCTATTGTTATGATTCGAATATTCTTGACGCAAAGAAAATTTTGGACCTGCTGCCCCAGGTCGAAAGAAATCTATCGGCGTTTCATAAATATCTCCAATTGCTTCTATTAGGCAATGATCAAAAATCACACTAGGGTAAGGAAATGTTGATGTTTCACAACAAGGAGTGTGATCAACTCCAGTAAATACATCTGAACACCTTAAATAAATGGTTTATTTAATGGTGGCTATATAATTGATGTAAACAAATCTAATCTAATCTTGTTTAATTAATGACAAATGCAATTAAAAAATAGAAAGTCTATTATTCCAAGTAATCTTTTTCTGCTTTCCATTTTAAATTAGATATTTAATTTTTAAAAAGTTATTTTATCAGATAGTTTCTTTTTAATTCTTCTACATAAATCAGATAAATGAAATTGTGTAAAAAAGATCTTACTTTATGTACCCATAATATAAATAATCCAAAAGTTGTAAATAAAATATGAACACATGCTAAATGCATGTGCCCCAATAACTAACTGCATGAGGCTGGGCAGTGGCGTCGGAACCGTGTGGGCTGTGTGGGCTTGGGCCCACCCATGAATTTTGATGGGGGGGCTCAGCCCACCCATCAATTTCAAAAAATTATATGAGCTAATATCTCTAAAAAAAAACGAGACCACTGGCTGCCTATCTAAAAAAAAAAAAAAAACGAGCCCACCCATCAAAAATTTGGTTCCTACGCCACTGAGGCTGGGTGTTAGATTATGTTGATATATTAAAGATAACCAATGCATGTACTACAATGAAAAAGTGTACCTAAATATATACCTTCTTTTCATCCAATTTATAAAACTTTCAATAAAGCAATTAGAAAGTAATGGACCTTCTGTGCTTTGATAAAAGTCTTGTCCTCGTAAGTTCTGACAAAAATCCAGAAGCCATTGCTGTGATTCTGAGTTTGATATATTAAAAGTTTCATCAAACTTCAAAGTTCCTTTCGATTTTGGGTTTAAATAATTGCCATTATCTTCTGGTAAAACTCCCCAAACAAATCGTAAAGGCATGAATGTCTCCACATTACTTCCCTGTAAATTTACAGATTTATTTAAAACAAATTAAATACATATACAAATTAATATTAGAAAAAGTTGTATTATAATACAATATTATAAACATTTTCAACAAAACTTAATAAATGCAGTTTAGTTTTTATAAACTAATGTTGATCCATTCATGAAAGAAATCCATTCTGATTTACCTTAAGAGCTTCTTCAAATCGAAATTTATTCCGATAAATTAAATCGTATTGCTCAAATGGGTGTGTAGTGTCAAATAGTTGAAAACCATGTGAATCGGGTAGTTTGAATTGCGGTTTATATAAAACAACTACAGCACTTCCAGCGGCAGCAAGACCTTAAAAATGAATTATTATTACAAAAGTAGTTCATAAAATAGAAAATTTTATTATGTTCTTAAAAATATAAAAAAAAACATTTATATTATGTGAGCAACAGTTATTTTATAGTATACCTGAATTTTATTCTTACCCAAAAATATGATCCAAAAGTACCTCAGCTTTATAACAATATTAATGATCATATTTTCAAAGTAGATGCCTAATCTATAGAGTTTAAAATTCAATTTTGTCTGGTAATCTGCACAATATCTCATGAAACTAATTGATTTAATATATTGGCAATCAACTTTCTCATAAAATAACATAGCGGCAGGCATCCAGGTCATCATTATAAAATAATTTGCCAATACTGCTGTTCCACTGAATATACTGACATATAACCATAATTATTAGCTATGTTTAATTATTTTTTAAAGATTAATTGATTATCATAACATACCCAAAACATTTTACTGCAGTAATATTACTGAAAAATAACGAATACAAAGCAGCACCTGTCGTCAATGAAGTCACAAACATACATGGTGAAGCTTTGCTTAAAACTTTATCAATGAGTATTGAAAATCTCTTTGTTTTATTCATATTTGGTGAGTTATCAGTTTGGTCATTACTATTAAAAGCAGCTAAATTCTGTTCAAATTTTATCTTTTCAATGTTCCAAACTTTTATCAAAATAAATCCATCGTCTGCACCAATACCTGAATTTAAGTAAAAGCTTTATTACTATCATTAACTTAAATTTAAAAAAAAAATAGATCACTCACCTACAGCTATGACAACAGCTAGTAGATTCATAAATGGAAAAAAGCTTATATTAAAAATAATCGTGTATAAAAAGTAAGATAGTCCAAGAGAAAATAACATCGCACTCAAAGTCATGCAAGTCAAAAATAAAGATCCAGTATATAATAAAGTGCATGTAAGTACAGACAAAGCACCCAATCCTGAAAGATAAAAATCACAACAACATAAATATACTTACAAAGCGCTGTTAACAAATAATGAAATCATTCAAAATATCTACCTATTAACCAAGTATCTTTCAAAAGAGTTTCTTCAAATAAAGCATATTTTATTCCTAAGTCCATTGCTGATATATAAATACCATCAACATTTATTTTAGGTAAAGTGTCATAAAAAGACAAAGAATCCGATATGCTTCTAATTGGTAAAAATATCATAGTATTATGCAGAATGGTAATATTAAAATCCTGAAAGATAAATATTATTTAATCTAATTCTAACAAACTGATAATTTTGTTTAATATAATAAAAATATTGAAATTGAATTTGCCATGTTGTAAATGATTCAGTACTTACATTAACAGCAAGGAAGTTGTTCTCAGTCAAATAATGTAAAATGTTGTATGGTATATTGTATTGCTTACATCTATTGGGGACCGTAGGGCATAAAATAGTATCAAAACAATCAGATTGTAAATGAAAGTTATGGTAATAGTAAGAACATTCTTGAAGTAGATTGATTGTTTCATTAACATCAGCTTCCTGAAAATAAAATAAAATTTATTTAAATCACATAATATATACATTTATGTAACATTTAATTTAAATATACCCAGAGTTCATTCTAACATACCGTAATTTGGGAGCAATTGTGATGTCCTCCAATCACAGCCACATAATTTGGCAAAGACCAAGCGGAGCAACATTGTCTATTTTTATTAGTCATACAAAATTCATTATAATTTGTAGAAGAAATTAAATTTTGTTGGAGTTCACACATATTAAGTAATGAATGCAATGAAAACAATGATTCTTCTGGATCAGATTGTGATATCACAAAATGAGCATAATCTGGCCCTGAAATAAAGTTTTATAAAAGAATCTGTACAGAACATTAGAAATATATTCAGTATACTTACTTGGATAGCCACAAAAAAATTCATCATAATGAATCTTGGTTATATCCTCCGTATTTGAGAAAACATCGAATTTACTTCCGTTACTATCTTGTTTTTGATATAAATCTCTTATATGTTTAGATTTGTATTCCTTTTTTTTGTTTTTATGCTTATTGTATTTGTTATTTTTCTTTAACTTTTTTTGAGATTTCAATAATTCTCTTGGATTGACGGTAAGCAAACCAGATGGGCCTGTTGCATCTAACAAATTTTGCCATGTTGTAATTCGATTAGAGATTTCAGTTCCTCGAGCTTCAAAACCCTGGAATAATAATATTTTATAATGTCATAGTTAAACTTGCATAGAAATTATGTTAAGTAGAAAAGAAAATAAAGGAGAGGAATATTTATACCAGCACAGGGTCTGCAAAATCTGGAATGTCTTTAATAAAAAAAGGCACAATTAATGTGGTTGAAGCAAAAAGACCAACTATCAACAAGAATACTAGCGGATTTGAATCTAATAATCGACTATAAAATTGCATGTTATCATTTTTCTTTGCTTATAATAATAAACTTAAAATTCCCAATATTAAAATATTAAAGTCGAAATGTCCTGTATAATTTCATAGCTATATTACTGCACTGTTTTGATAATGGAATATGTTTTGATTTAACTTATTTTTTTAAAAGTAAAAAGAAATACACTTATTATGCATCATTAACCTAACATTTATGAAAATAATGTTGTTTATAGCAACAGATGAATTTCAAATGTAAGCTGTCAATCTGTCAATGTTCCTGTGCTTCTCAATCTGTTTGTTTTTCTACTTACACTACCTAGGAATTATTGCCCTTTTCATATAAAAAGCAAATTAGTGGAGTGCATAGCATCGTGCCTTAAGGCAAATTGCTGGAACTTCCCGTACCGTAATTAAAAATCTTGGTACGGAACCCAAAAAAAATCACACAAAACGTGTATGCAATATTAAAATCTCTATAAAATATTTGATAATTTGATGTATATATGTTCAATAAACATTTTTGACCGCCAAATGACATTTATTTAACTTTTTTTTTATTGAGAGTCCATAACCGTTGGAAAAATTTAATCAGTTTTTCATATTGTCAATACTAGTAAAACGTTTTATAAATTATTAAAATCGGACGCTCCGTTCTCCTAAAAACTGAGTAACTGTTTTTGACACTTTTTGCCTCGTATCTAGACCTGCCTTTACCAAAAACTAATCAGCACGTCTCCTTATCAATACGAATCGATTTTTTTTTGAATTACCGAAATCGTCGACAAAAATTTGCATCCGCAAGCACACACACACACATACACACACATCCATTTTTTCTAGGGTATGCCAAAATATTTAGAAACCTTTGAAACGCAAAGATATACGAGGTCTGTTCAAAAAGTACCCGGAATTACTAATAATTAAATTTCGCGGGTCTGGAGTGTCTGATTGTCAAATTTTTTTTTTATTGTGTTGGTATACATGCCCCTAAAGTATGATGAAATTTTCAGCTATATTCACTGTTTACTTTGTCTGTGGTAGTCGCTAAGGTTCGACGTGTTTTTCTGAGCTCGGCGATTTTTACAATGGAAGAATTGAAAAGTCAAAGAATTTGTATTAAATTTTGCGTAAAAAATGAAATAAAGTGTTGCAAAGTGCAAAAATTCACCAGATATGGCTCTGTGTGACTTTTTCCTATTCCCAAAGTTGAAGAGACCCATGAAAGGACGGCGGTTTTCCTCGATTGAAGAAAATCGCTGAGAGTGCTCAAGGACATATCAAAAAGTGAATATCAAGGGTGCTTCGAAAATTGGAAAAAATGCTGGCATAAGTGTATTATATCTGGGGGGGACTACTTTGAAGGGGACCACATTAATGTAGACGAATAAATAAATATTTTTTTGAAAAAACGAAAATTCCGAAAACTTTTTGAACAGACCATGTATAAAAAATTTCATTTACGATTTCTTTTGCGATTACTATAACTTACCCTAAGGGAAGTTAATTGCTTCTTTAATTTTTTTAACTTCCTTTAAATAAAAAAAATCCACATTGCAGAATCTAATAATCGATTTCTTAAAAAAAAATCTTGTTTACTATTTCTTACTACAATAAGAGGTATAGTCAAAATCGTCAAAACATTATGTTTCAACAATTAATTAGGAAGAAATGCATCTGGCGATCATGCTAAAATCTAATCAGCATGATTCCTTACTGATACCTTTAGTAGAGCTTCTGAATTTTGAAAATCCTTTCAAGATTTTTGTGGAAAACTTGCATGAAATTTTTTGCCGATTGTTTCGCAAAACTAAATAACGCCAGTCCTTATCGAGTTATAGTCCAGTCATTTAAGCTTAATTTAGGTAAGAATCTCAGAATTCGAGATACCCAGTTGTAAGTCTGTAAATACTTGTATATTGACACCCTAAAGTTGTCTCAAAACCTACATATGGTAGGGTGTAAATACCATATGTAGGTTTTGAAACAACTTAAGGGTGTCAATATACAAGTACTTACCAGACTCAAAGCTGGATATCTCGAACTCCGAGGTGTTACTTACTATAATGACTGAACTATTACATCAAATGACTTAAAATTTTAATATCGGCAAAACTAACAAATCGAATTTTTCTACGAAAACATAAATTTCTCATTTCGGAAAGTTAAAAATTTTTGGAAAAAAGCTTTTATTTCAGAAAAATTAAATCATGAATAATATTTGCTTAGTATCCAGAAAAACTGAATATATATATATATATATATATATATATATATATATTCACACACATATATATTTATATATATATATATATATATATTTATACATATATTTGTGTGTGTATAAATCTATCTACCATATCTTGGTGATATACAACGCATTTTTAAATGGAAAACAAAGCTTAATAATATTTAAATGTTTTTTAAATAGTTGCACCAAATAACATTCATTACAATTAAATACCAATATGAAACTATAAATAAAGCCGCATTGATTTATTTTGTTTAGTTGTAGAGATATGTCTAACATAATGTATTTTGTTATATTGATTTATTTTATGTTTATATCAAAACCGGTAAGTTGCTTTGTGCATTGATGATAAAATAATTGAATGAAATATATGCATATATTTTTTCTGTAATTAAAAATTTTATGCTGACATATGTTGATATGTAATTAAAAATTTTATGTTGACATAAAACCGAGCATAACATCAATAAAAAGAATATTTTTAAAAAAAATATTTTACAAACCTCACGTTTTGGATATTATTTGGATATTTGGCCTTCATTCAGTGGATTTATATATACATACATATATATATATATATATATATATAATATATATATAATATTGACTTTATCCACTTGGAATATTATTAGCTTATTACTTTTGAATTATATTTAGTACTATATATTTTAACAGGTTCATAGTGCAATATTGATCAACAAAATTCCAATTATTCAAACGGGAGAAAACATTACGATTTTGAACAGTTTACCAAAATTTAATGCTTCAAAGGCAATAAATGAATTGCAAACTTCCTTGAATGGACTTGTTATCCAGAAAAAAATTTTTAATAAAACATTAGGTGAACAAAATACTGAGTTAAATCATATAATAGAAAATCAGTAATGGAAAATTTCCTGAAGGACATTGGAAATATAACATAGAGAGATAATCCTCCTATAACTTATTATTTATAGAAAAGTCTCATCTGATAGTTCGAAAAATTCGAAAAGTGAAGCAAGATATTAATAATTTTCATCGTCTGCAAGGGATCTGCGTTCTCCAACTCGATCAAAAGTTTAAATTTAGAAAATGAAGAAAAATCTGAACAAAAAACAAAACAAAATTTAACAGAAATTATAAAGTCTTTAAAAGCCAAGGTATCCGACAATACCGATAGATATTTATGCACACCAGCACGAGAAGATAAAAACGAACTTTATACAACTGATGATATAATAATAACTTTTGGCAGTAATGTTGATAACGAGGAACTGAAGTTACTTGTTTTCCGAAATAATGTAACTGAACCTTTAAACTTCAGAACATTGATGATAAAAGCATAATAATAATTTGTACCAAAATAGCAAACTGCACTCAACCAAACAAAACTAATACATTATTGACTAAAGAAAATTTTCTAAACTAATATCAGATGCACTTACTAAACATGATAAAGATGATGTTACCTTTAATATTAATGAAGGTACAAATAATTATAATTTATACACGGAGCCTTTTCAATCGGCAATGAATCTACTTGGAAACCCGGAAGAAAGATACAAAATAGCAGGTATGCACTACCATGCTCAAGAAGAACATATGAAAAACAATGAAAATATCTTAGAAATATTCTCTTTGAATTAACTCGATTAAACGATCTTCAATGGTATCAATATATAAATAACCAGCTACCACATCTTGAAAATTCTGAAAGATTGAATATCTACAGCAGATCGAACCCTATAAACACTCCTTCCTTCGCACATCATCCTTTAGAAGAATTTCTAATATGATAAAGTTTGTCCTACATCTAGAAAATTATGCAACGGAAAATGGCAATTCTAACTACAATCCTCGTATTAAATCTATTTTAAAAAATCTTATTGATAAAATTGATCACGATAAAATAACACGAATAAGCCACAAGTCAACCATAAAGTGGACGACATAAACATGATCAACCAAACATGGGATAAATCTCAACTGGATTTCATTATTGAAACGATTGAAAACTTGACGATGGTAAAGATAAAACAGAAAAAAATCTAAAATTTACGAAAGATTATGATGACATTATTATAGTTAATGACACCCAAGCAAATGTAATGAAAAAATATAGATTGGTTAGCGAAAGAAGACTTGATGAACCGGCAAGTAAAATAAGAAAAGCCCTTCAACAAGAAAGTAGTGATAATTTATCAAAGGAAAATGATAACTCTGATACAACTCTGGAAGTATTTGCAAGATTCGGAAAAGTATAAACAATTATTTTAAATAATAAAACTTCTAACGGCATGTTACAACCTGGAGTTGAAATACAACGAGTAATGAAAATTCAGCAAAACCACAAATTTCTCATATAGTTGTAGGTAATAATACTGAGGATATGATTACAGATATGAGTAAGATTAAAATTATTCGACAAGGAGGCATATAATATAACATCTGATTCCAATATTAAACCAAATATGCAATAAAACCTTGGATATTGCAATTATTTGAACATTTATTCTTTAAAAATAAAATGGTAATAGATGGAAGTAGATAAATTGATATAACTATTGTAGAAAAGCAACAAAAATCATTAGTGAGT